ATTTTTTAAATCCATATAACTTCTTAAATATTCATCCTAAATATTAACTATCTTATATTAATTTGTAGCTCATGTTACGATCTACAACTTTACTTAGAACATCAACAAACATTTACTTGAACTCGAACCAAACTATTTGTCTGGTTCGAGTCTGGTTCAAAATTCGAACCGAACTCGAACCAGACTTTTAATTAGATTCGAATTTTTGAACCGGACTTTTCGTCAGGTTCGAGTCTGGTTCAAGCTCGAACCAAACCAGACTTTTTTTCGGAACCCTAGGATAAAGCACTCTATCCTGCATTATTCATCAATTGTCTCTGATATTATTGCAGTGCTCCAATTCTATGGGAATGCATTGAGTTTTTCATAGAAGATTATTAGCATGATCAGTGTAAAAAAAACATATCTGGATTTCTTTATTAACAATTGATGAAGTTTAAAAGAGTTATATGCAAAAAAACAATCTCTCTATTGTTTAAAGATGACATATCTCATATTAGAAGGTTTAAAAATCTCAGATACATTGATTAGTGCAATTTTACATTCATGTTCAGATATATGCTTTCTCATTCTTGATCGAAGTTACAGTTTCAGTAATATATCAATTATAAAAATTGCAAAATATTGTCTGAAATTACTACATCTGAGTCTTGATACGTGTATAACTATTACTAATAGATGCATTAGTAAAATAACACAATCTTGTTCAAATTTAAAATACATAAATCTTGCTTCTTTGTATAGAGACAGTAATATTTTCAGTGCATTTGTGATTGAAATAGCACGATCTTGTTCCAATCTAGTATATTTAAATCATAATGAACAACCTTCTATTAATAATGAATCAATTTGTATAATTGCATGTTCATGTATAAATCTTCAACATCTGGATTAATCATTCAATGAAATAATTATGAATGAAGCTATATGTGCAATTGCAACTGGCTGTCCAGATATGTGAAATTATTTTCTCGAAAGCTGTGAATGGATAACTGATAAATCAATCAAAAAAATTACACAGTTAAATCAAAATCTGCAAAAGCTTATTCTCATTTCCTGTTACAAAATTACAAATAATGCTGTATGTAATGTAATCTGTTCATGTTCAAACATTCAGAATCTTAGTTTTCAATATATTTATATCACTAATAAAATGATATATAAAATTGCACATCACTGTTCAAATTTATTAGTTCTCAATGCAAAGAAATGCCCGTTTATTTCTGATAAATAAATATATTATCTATTAAGCAAAAAACCAGCACTAGAGCTAATATTGGATTGAATTCCGTGATTCATATAAGCTGGAATAAAAATTTTGATATTAGATGAATAAATCAAAGTTTGACGTTCAATAATAATTATTTATTGACACATTAATATATGTTAAAGACACTAGCTCTACTATAGTTGTGAAATAATAGAATTATAACTTTATTAATTAATGCGTGTATTTTTGTAAATTCAGACGTAACATCGATGTCACTGGCGCAGTAACGATTATATTCTACATTCCTTTTTTAAAACTTCGACTATCACATAATCAATATTTTCTTGACTTAAGTTTGAAATGTTTGATGCCGAAAACGATCTAATGCCTCTTAATTTCTCTTTACCAATACCAACAAATAAATTATATATTTTTCCTGCTCTCTCCTTTCTTTTTTTCAATGCATCATTGGTGATATTATCTGGAAGTTGTTTCCGGATTTCGTCATTAACAAGAGCCAAGCAAGCTTGTTCCCATGTTTCAGATTCTTATAATGATCAAAACATTTTTTTATAGCTTCACCAAAGTTAAAATAACTTTCGATAACCTCCCTACTTGCTATTTCACTTTTAGATTCAGTTTGCGTAATTTTGCTATAATGATACAAAAAATTATTGGTGTTTTCATTGACTTCTATTACTTTTTCAAAATTTTCCGTTATTACTGATGTCAATTCCTCAATAAGTTTTTTAATATATGAGAATCTTCCTTTGATATTTGTTTCTTTGCTTTCTTATTGAAAAGTTTACTGGCAGATTCACTAACACGCTTTTTCTGGAACGTATCTTGAAATATTGTAAAATCTGGAGATATATTCATTGGATCAGCGGTATATAGACTTCCAGGTGTGCTCTCGACCATAGTTTTTATCTCCTTCTTGCAATCAGGTCTTGGACATATTGAATGTTTTTTGATAGAATTTTCGATACAATCACGATGATATATATGACCACAGATGAGTATGGTAATCGGATTTTTTATTTCATACAAAAAAAGTTCTCGGTTGCATAATGAGCATGGGTCAAGTTCTGAAACATTAACGCCTTTTGCTATTTTTTCGACGGATGAATTTTTTAGAATATTTAATGCAAGGGATTCGAGAGATGAAATATTAGCAGACATAGCGAGGTATATAACCAGATAAGTTTTCCGTATATTTAACTCATTTTTTTATAACCGAGTTAGTACCAAAGCGCATATACTATTACAAAGCAATGACTCTTCGAGTCTACACTCCTCACGACTAACAAAACCAATTTCAGATGTTATAAAAGTCAATTTCGGATTTGATGATCATTAATTATTTCGGCTTAATATTTTAGTTTAGTCTCTTATAATGATGATCTCAAATAGAAACAAAATTAATTATTGGAAAAAGAATATGCGGAGCATAGAGTCTCTGACTCATATGACCCTTTGTTTGAAAAAGTAATAGCGGAGCTAGTGTCTCTGACACATAAAATCACGATAAATCGATTGTGTATACAGATATTCGATCATATGTTATACCACAGAATAAAATCGAAGATCATAGAACATCTATATACATGCATGATTTAATCGTGTAACCTACCGATTGTTAACATATAAATCCAAATCCGATTGACTAACTCGTGGCATATGCATTTTCTTTTTTTCGTCGTGTATGTTTACATAGTAAATCCTCATGGGCTTGCATCGCGCCAGTTCCACAATCCCTAAATCTACTCTTCCCATACCTAAACGAGGCTGAAATGGGTGGGTGAACGTTTTAAAAGGTCAGAATAGCGATTTATTATTACCTGTCGCTTTTAGTTATTTTTTTTTATTGTATTTCTTACTCGCGATTTTTATTATACCGAAAAATGGAAGAATTTCTTTTAACAAGAGAACCCCTTGATATCGTTAGAATTTCTACAGCATTATATGTACGAGTAGAACAAGGTGAATGGAGTGGCGTTCTTGAGAAGGAAGTGGAGAATTTTGAAAATATCTTGGAAAGAGTTTTAGGACAAGTTCCCTCAGAAGATGTTGAACGAAAAAAGAAGCTTCGAAGTTTTGGTACTGGAAAAAAATTGGCAAAACGGGTAAGACAGTAACTATATTTATGACAAATATGTGGATATGATGTCATGCATTTTTTAGGTTTTCTAGTATGGTATAATATTATTACTTCCCGCACGGTAGTAACTAGTTTATACCATATGCTACATATCAAACATTTTTGCCGGCTCTTGAAATTTTGTGAAAATGGAAACCTAATCTGATTCCGCGATGTGGTTAAATTTAATATGTTTGTCAAAACGAGTCTTTAGAACTAATTCTAGGTCGCAACTGCATTCGAAGATCTATGTTCACTCTCAGAAATGAAAGCATTAGTGATTGATACCGAAGCCTGGCATGAAGACGCAAATGCGAATTTACGATCTTTGAATCGTGATGTTGGACGGTGTATAAGCGAGAGCGCTAGTTATGAGAAGACCATGTGGGAGAGAATAGAAATGGAACTTAAGGAAATAAATGTGGAGGATCTTGGCTTCGATCATCCGATATGTTCAGGCGTTCTCGATATAAAATCGGTACCCTTTACAAATATACCCGGGTCGGTTTGTGATATTTTTAAGGAACCATTTCAGAAATATAAGTTAGAACAGAATCATAATGTAATGGATGCATGTAAAGAATTTATCTGGAACGAAGAATCGAAAATTAATATAGATGAGGTTTTGGGTGATGTTAAGCATGGAGAATGGTTGGATAAACCTGAAAAATTGCAAGCTCTAACAAAACAGATGTTAGAATCAACGTAAGCCACTGGAAATAAGTTTTGCTAAAACCCCGCTTATATGATTCTTTTACTTTTCTCATTTACTGGTAAATAATTATAGGCTCAAAGTTTGGAAATCTCCAAAATACGAAGCATATATAAAGAAAGGAACGTTTGTGAAGTGCTCGCACCATTGTTAAACATAGTGATGAGCAATTTACCAGGAAATCCAATAGCGTGGGATATATGGTAAGCTCAACTTAACGAATCGCGTTATGTGATTATCATATCTTCTGCTATAATTAATGTTTCCCAAACAAGGGGCGAAGAAGGGAGTTCAGCTAGTGCTATACGAAAAGGTTCTCGTAAAATTGCACGAAGGGCTGATTATATGATGGTGGCGCAGTTGGGAAAAAATGCTAAACTTGAAATTGTTTATCTTGAAACCGGTAGACCTGATTCCACTCGAGATAAACGCCTTCGTGATCATAAAAAATTAATACGTTTTTCAAAGATTCTATTGATACCACAAGAAGCGTATTAAAGCTCAAAAAGATATTCAACCAATCATCGAAGAGACAGAATTTGTCTATATTTACTATTAACGTTGCAGGTATATACAAATTACTTCTATTTTTATATCCATAAATCACTTATATTTCGTTTTATTACTTTATAATTTTGCAGGCGACGTTATAGAACTTTACGCTATGCATAGAGAATTGGGTATTTACAGATATTGTCTCAGAGGAAGCATCAATTCCATTACACATAACTTCAGCAAACGCTGTGTATCCGCTCATTCATACCTTACTAACATTAAGAACGACAGTTGCATGCACAATTCATAAAATTTTGATTCTGGAGACAGTGAACATAGTTCTAGTAAAATGACAACGACTGTACCTACTCCTTAAAAATTCATAAATTTCATTTCTGTAATTTGTTTCTATTTTACCGCATCAATAAAACTGGCCCTAGTGGTTAATATAATTACATACTTTGTTATTTTTCAATCGTCACACGTTATTTTTTAATCATTCGTACGCGCGTTATTTAAAGTACGTCCACCAGAAAATTAAATTATATGTTTGCACGATGCTTGTAAATTACGATGATATAGTGGATTTTGATTGGACGATCATCGTATATATACCCCTTACCCAATCAACGATTACTTACCTCCCATCCCACGCTTCTTTTTTTCCGCGAAAGTATACGCTATTCTTCTTGAGTAAGACTCGGCTCTAGGGTTATATAACCTTAACGGCTCGTCGAATAGTGTCGCTTTTGATTTCCCCACCAATTAGTAATACACTGCGAACTTTTTTGTTTTATACAGTTACGATATCGTACAGCGGGCATTGCGATATTTAGGCCAATAAATGATAGTTTTATTTTACTATATGAATAATATTAGCAACATAATACTTATAAAAAATACAATATATAATATGATGATTTTAATTCCGAAACTGCTTAACAGACGAATTGCAAATTTTCATTTAGATTAAAAACTAATCACAATAACATGCTTCAGGACCACATTCTGATTGGCATTGTTGGCATTGTTCCCCGCATTCTTCGTTAACTTCGTATTCTTTGGGGTGCTTCGATTGACTAAAATGTACCAATATTTTATTAGAGAAAACTTAAAAAAGATCAAAAACATTTTATTACAACTCACCTTTGCACATATGGTTCATTATAAATCTTATTCCAAGCTTGAACTGTAGCTTCAAAACCAACTGATAATTCCTTTTCAGGCAACGTATCATCATGATTAATAATTCGACCAGCATGCTTTTTGGTAAATGCACGATAAAGTGATGCGTGAATCTGATGCGTATGCCAACACAAATCGATATCAAACGTAGGTACAAGGGGAATACTTGGTTTCTCTTTCGTTAATGACAAGAATTTAAGGTATCGCACGGTAGCGTTTTCTTGAGCCCCTACGCAATCGACCCATTTATTGTTGACCACCTTATCTGTGAATTTGCGTTGCCGACGTACAGCACTAATTAGATCAATTGAGAATGCTAACGGAATGCCAATGTAGGCGGATAAGACGCGCTGGACAATTTTCTCTTCTGAATTTTTAATCTGGAAATTGAGTTGTTTGACTATATGCTCCCAGTTGTATTGGTCAAAATTTGTTAATTCATTAATGCTACTTGTAGTAAATAACGATTGAAAACTTCTGGTCGCAAATTCTTCCGAATATGTGCCATTTTTTCGATTAATTAAAGTTCCACTAGATAAAAATAAAGTGACTTAAAACATTTATTTTGGAGTAATTAAGAATCACCAAAAATTTGTATTACCCAATCAATCGAGTTTTATCCTTATTCCAAGCGCTAATATCATCGACGAATCGTTTTGCGCTTAAAGTTTCAATAGAATATGGCGCGTAACATTTTGGACAACTTTCATCCGTCTCAACTGTTTGCATCAATTTCACATAATTTACCCTATACAGTATTTCGGTATTAAGATTATTAAGTGAGAAGTTGGAACCGAATTTAATATTTCCTTACCATGGGATTTGAACACTTGATTTACACCAAGGGCAGATTATCTTAAAATCGGAACTATCATTTGGGTCAAGAATCCATGGTTGTTTAGTCTCTTCTACCCAGACTTTTTCAGATGGAGGATCAGTATGATCACCATTACTTTCCCAAACATCGTACTTATTAATGGAATAAAGATTTTTAAAAGTTTAATACGCCTGAGGGATAAAAAAGAAATGCTTACCAATTGTTTTAGAGGGAAATCTGGAAACTTTTGTTGAGGGTCATAAATTCGGTGCAAATCTTCGTAGTATCGTAATGGCGAAAGCAAATGAGAATGCCAAATATAGCAAACATCTATCTAATTTTAAAAGAGCGTATAGGTTTGGAGAATACAAGTTATCACAAAGCTTTCATGTCTTCCGAGACATTACAAAAAGAGTGATGTAGACGGCACCTATGGGCGGAATTAGCTCAGTTCCTTGATCATACTTTTGACTGCCCAACAAATTCAACCACAATACATAGCGTTCCTGCGCACGTAGTAAGTATCTTGTATCGATGTGCTCGTCCGACTGTTCCAACGCCTTAAATTTAATCAAGAGCATAACATGTGCATGCAACATAGCTGGGTTCACGACTCCGTCAATATCAACGAATAGCACCTCATTCAGAATATTGGAAGGCATTGTGTTTTTTTAAGAAATTGATACTGAAAAATCGCGTATACCGCAAGTTCTATACAATATTTATATTTATTGCAAGTAGTACATGAAGGCACGTGAATTAATAAAGAATATGGAAAATATGAACTATTATCTGGTTGGATAAAAAAGAATTTTCCTTTTTGATCTTTGAATCGCGCATTTGCGGCACAGCAATTTCGAAAATTTTTTTATGCAAAAGACAACGAAAAGCTTTCAAAGCTACATAATAGACATATTTTTATCTGTTCTGCAAGTTTACTTAGAGCTTGAAAGGTGGTTTTAAATGTCAGTTTTGACTTTAAATATAAATAATTGATTTTATCGTCTTTTCCGATTGCTTCCAAAATGGGATTTGACGAAAAAAAAAGTTTTATTAATTAGACCAAAAGTGACATTCAATAGCTCTAAACGACTTGCAGAGCAGTCAAAATTACGCATACTATCTGTTTTTAAAGTCGTATTATTCGTTTTTCCGACGGCTCGTCGAATAGTGTCGCTTTTGTCTCTCCTCTACTAGAAATAGACCGACTATTTTTTCTATCACCGGCTATTGCTTTATCGTAACCAATGAACTCAACTAATAAACGAAAAGAAGGCGTCACTTCGGAGGAAACACCACCCACGAAGAAGTTATCACGACAGGCCCGTGCACATAAAAATAAAAAACAGAGGCGAGAGCAGATTGAGACGTCACACGAATCAGTTGATATAGTCTTCGACCCTAACCTAGTACAGAAACATTATACATTTTTTTTCTTTGCGCTAGACTATTTTTGTATTGATAAGACGCACTTGCCTTAGCTTTTATATGGGTTATGGAACATAACGGAGCCATTAGTCGACCCCGTGTTCTGGCGAAGGCGATTTCGTTTGTTCTGCAAAATATAACCTAGTGCTTAGCAAGTCGCTTAGCGATAAGCTTTTTATTTAAATTTAGTATTTTTTTTTTATATGATCAAGCATCGAAACCACCCGTGGTCTACGTACTCGATTATTTAGAAAAGGAATGGATAATTTTCTCCCTCGGATCGTAAATCATCTAAAGAAATAAAAACTAGACAGGGGACTCAACTAAAAATTTATTAATCGAGACATTCAAGATTGGCCAGCGATACCTCTCTCAAGTTAGATGCGAAAACATCCTCACTTTATGAGACAGAAATTCGTGAAGCAAGATTGGCCAGCGATACCTCTCTCAAGTTAGATGCAAAAACATCCTCACTTTATGAGACAGAAATTCCTGCAGATTTTTTGACTTTACTTGAAACCGATATCATTAACGTGTCGAAGAACGATAATACCGCTGTCTCCACTCGTGATGAAGATAAAGAACAACGGATCTCATTTGGACGGTTTTGGGGGTTTAAGGAACCGATTAAAAGAAGAGAGGTACGACGACACCTTAAGAATCAGTGGGGGAAGCTCCAACACGCTCTTGATGTCCAAAATAATAAAGATTTGCAAGCTCTTTTCACGACCGCTGTTGAACGTAATACCCGAAGAGAAAAGATCCGGTTAATCACGACAGCACGAGATAATTTTCGATCGCTTGACAGTTAGTAGGATTTCGTTTCATTTATTGATTCAGAATGCATTAATGATATGGATAGCCAGATACTAGTACATCTTGACCAACTCGATGATCTAACTGCCGTGATACAAGCAACGAACGCTATTAACTCCTATTATTTCCACACGTTGAAACATCCGTCACATAGAAGCGAAAGTTTTTGGAAATTTTTTATAGAACACTTCGGTGTATTTGCGTTGAATAACCTCCTCCCTTACACAAGTTCGAATAGTGCGAGTAGTCACAATATCGAACATTTAGAGTATGTCAATAAATTAATCCACGGTCTTGAACCACTGTCGAACTCTATTAATCGGTTTCTTCAAAAATATTATAAGAGTTTGTACGAGAAGTTATCCAAATTAAAGTGGGACCCTTCGCAACTAGATAATTCGGCGTCTTCCCTATAATCGCAGTTAATTTCAATACTATCAGTGATTACTATTGGGACGAACATGACGATCCGAATAGTTTCTGTTGTCTAGTCGCTCTTGAAGAGTTCGAAGGCGGTGAATTGTGTTTTCCTGAACTCGAAATTGTTATACCACTCAAGCCCAATCAGGTTGTAGTATTTTCTTCGCGTCTCCTGCTTCACGGTAATCTTCAAATCACGAGAGGGATTTGGCATAGCGTCGTATATTTTTGTTCATAGCATGCTCTTCCACCATTTGCACGATTTTTCTTCGATATATGAATATCTAGAGGTGGGGATCGAAAGTGATGCTCATGGGTCGGCTTTTCCTATGATTCCTCGGCAAGATCTCAACGACGCACGAGATCTGAATAACCGAATCACACTCCCCCAACCGAAAAAAAGTTAAACCGAGATACCAGAAAGATCTTGTGATAAGAGGCGAGGGAATATTGGTAAGTAATTATTTAACATGGGCTAGTACGTTTGTGTTAATCTTTTCATTGTGTTACATACATTGTTAAAATCGCTAATTATAATCACTACTTCTTTACAGATTTATCACGTGCCAGACGTGGGTTGAAAGCAGAGGATCCACTACCCGATGGGGTATAATTCGATACTTATATAGCGAAAATAATTATATAGATTTAACGGTTTTAAAATGTAAATATATCAGTTGATCACTGGTTAAATAAAGATTTTCGTGTAAATATATTTATTTTTTCTTGGCATTTTTTGGCGAACATGTTTGCTGAAATTTCATCGGTTTACATTAACACGATAAATAATTAAATATATCTATATTTTTATAAAATATAAAAAATGGCAAACAAACAATCCAAAGTTGATTCATTAGAAGAATGAATTTCCAAGCTTGTAGCTGAAAATGATATACTTAGATGGGAAAACACTGAGATCAAGTCTGAGAACATTGAACTTAAAACTGAGAATGCAAAATTAAAACAGGCTTTGGAAGAACATGAATCTAGATTTATGAAACTGGAGCAGAATGATAAAGATACTGCTTCGGAAAATGCCAAACTTAAAGCTAGGGTTATGAAATTGGAACAGAAACAGTTACAATCTGACAAAGAAAAGAGCAATCATATTATATTACGAAGTAATGATTGTGCCAGCTTCACTAATGCTCCTGCATCTAAATCGGATGATACCACCTTTATTGAAATGGAAAATTCTAACGATGCTCCTGAACAGACAAACTTACATTGTAATGAGTCAGAGGCTCATGGCTATACCATTGATACTCTTGCAATTAATATATCTGATAACACTTCAAATTCTAATGTACGTCAGAAGCTTTCATCCCAATATCCCACATCACCTGTTTGTACAGAATAAGTCATTGAAAGACAAGGAAATAGACAAATTCGTAGATTCAATACATGAGGAACAGGTTAGTAAAGAAATAATTCAGAGAATTAGGGAGAAGAAACTTCGAGATCAAGAATTGCTCTCAACTTTTGAGAATAGTACTCCTAATATTTCGCGTGAGCAAGATTTAATACAAGAGATATCGTCATCTATTAAAGATCCAAATTATGATGATTCCAAACTTTCAGTGAACATGTTCGCCAAAAATCATGTGACTAATAATTTAACTCAGATATGTAATGAAAAAAATAGTTCTATTTTGTTTTTCACATCAAAAAATAAAATCTTACTAAATTTATCAAGTTTATATCAGAAAGCTTGTAATACAGAAAAGCAAGCAATTAAAGTTAATCAAGACGAAATTACGTGTTGGTATTATTATATAATAGAATTTGACAACTAGGTTAAAAATCACATGAGATCTGATCATATTGACGAGAAAAAGGCAAAAGGTCAAATTTACGATTTTATTATTGCACAACTAAATCCCAAGCACAAAACTTTGCAAAAGCAGATCCAAAAAGCTAGAAAATTTTATAATTTATTTGAAAAAATAGGAATAGACAAGATTCAGCATATCAAAATCTTTAGCACAAATTCTATTTCAAGATTTACTAATTTACAGATTCAAATTATTATTGATCATTTTGCTAAAAAACTTGACATAGAATATATTGATGACCAAGACAATTCTCCAGATAATTTATCTAAAACTGATATAAGTATATCTACTAAATCGATTCCTTTAGATCCAAAGAATTATTGCTCTGCAATAGATTTCCAAGAAAATAATCAAGACGAGACAAAGATTCGAAACTCTGCTTTCTTAAAATTACCAGATACCAAAGTAAGTATATTACAAGTAAATACATCTAGTCATCTTGTGATTGTTTTTGACAATAAATCTCAATCTTTTATCTTTATTTTATCTGATGATCCAGAAGAAAAGTGAAAATTTGTTATTAATAAAGTGCTAGAGCAATTTCCTTATTTATCTTCGAAGTATAGCAATAAAAATCACGATTATTTTGATTTTAATAATTCAATATCCTGTCCTATATGTAATAAAGATCATAAAAAAGAAAATATAAGACATAATATAAAGGGTGAATGGGGTAGTGAAGATTATGTTAATACAAAAACCTATCATTTCAAATGCTGGGAGACTTATCAAAATTCAATTCAAATAATAATGATAAAAGCGTAATGTTCTCATTTATTCAAAAATTGTTGAAATTAATAAATTAATAAAGTAATATAACAGTGAAAGAACAAAAACTGGATGAATTACAATTAATGAGATTCACTAAAAATTCTAAAAGTCTCTTATGATAACTTGTATGCAAACTAACTAAATATTATTAATAAAAAATAGAAATGAATAAAAAAATAAAGTAAAAAGATAAAAAGAATTAAAGAAATTAACAAATAGTTTCAAAGTAAATAATAGGACTTATTGAAGATATCTAACAAAATAAAATAATAATTGGATTTATCAAGAGTGCCAATTACGAAATATAAATAAAATAATCAAACAGGACTTATTGAGACTGCCTAAAAGTAATAAAACAAAAGTAATAATGTCAACGGCTTATTTAGAGTGGA